CCGTTATAACACATTTTCATCTCATCATTTAATTTCTGTTGTACATATATTGTTGTATAAAAGATATTTTAAAGTGATTCATCAGAAGGAAAATGAAGTTTTATAATAATAGAATGTACATTGTGAAGGTCATGAATTTATCAAACATGAATCAAAAATAGCACCTGAAATACATTCTAGTCCTGCGAAGTCTCAGAAGTAAAACTCGTAGTTTTCCCAATTTTATTAATATTCAACAATATTTGTTTTTTAATCTGCATGAGCCGAATTTTTATATTATGTAATGCAAGAGTTAGTTTAGGTGAAAACGCATAACATAAATTTCGTATTTTTTTTTACAGGCGTTGTTGCCTGGGCAGTAAACGCTGAAACTGTAATGGGAAGAAGCAGAGTTAACACATCATTTATGCCTAATCAGGTAACTTGTGAAAAAAAAGCTTGTACTCGTAACTTTAAATTAACTGCTATGCATATAGTTGGTGTAATTATTTAATTATTTGTTGCTTGGTTCTTAACTAATTGGACTTAGATTATCAAATGTATTAATAGTTATTATTAGGCCAAAGAAAAAATAATATATCTAAAATATTTAACTTCTAAGTTTATTCTAAAATTATAAATTAAAGTAATTAAGTCTAACGTGTGAATTATAGCTTTGCTGTATATGTTGATAAAGTTTAATTTACTCCTATTCAATAAGCATTAGACAAAAGAGTTGATTTTTGAGAATTTTAAAAAGAAAAGAGCTAACTGTATATACATATATATATCAAAGTTTTATAGGTGACTGTATAAAAATTAAAGTTTTTGTAAAATAGCTAACGTATTACCAGGGCAGGTGAGAGTTTCTTTAGTACTCTAGAATATTAGAAAATAGAATATAAAAAATATTATTAGGTTGTATCTGTGATGAGATTTTAGTTCGAACCTTGTTGCTGAATACATCAATCCCTGTCATTAATACAAATTTTTTGTAATCTTTTCTTACTATTAATCTAATGTATTTATCCAAATATAGATTGATAGTGGAACTGGTGGAAGAAAACAAAGTCATAGTTTGTCATTTTTGGAGAATAGAGTAGACAGAGGCTTCGGTACAAATCATGTTCTAAGCAGACCCATGAGCAAGTTCCCAGTCGTTACTATGAGAAGTGGTATTACTAGGGACTTCTCAAAGAACGACGCCATTTCTAGTAGTTCTGGTCAGTCAAAAAAGAACAATGATGACGTATTTTTTGTCCAGTACGTGCCGAATGATAAAAAGAAATACGATCCAATGATGGAAAAAGAAATGTCTGTTGAAAGTTCGATTGACAATCGAGATTCGTCAACAAAATTAGCGATAAACAAAAATACTGACATTAGTGATTTACTGACAAAATTTATTGAAAAATCCAAAGACAATGGAAAAAACTCACGGCATTCTCTTGTATTTTCGCCTTCAACGATTAAATCTACGAAGAAGATCGCCAAGAGTTCTTTTTCGCAGTTGGCAAATAATCCAAACTACAGAGTTCAGTTCGATGAGGATCTTGATTATATTAATCCTTTGGATGGCTTACAATTATCCGATGATACAACATTAAAGAGTTATTCCACGAGATCTGAAAACAGTGGAAAATCATCATCCCAGACCTTGGGCCCTAATAGGTCTGGTGAACAACCGCTTGTACCTAATAAACAATCAACCATCCAGAATGATGGCGGTTACTCTGGTGGTTCACCACAAAATTATGGAGGATATGCTCCTTCAGCTCCCCCTCCTTCTTCCAGTTATCCATCTAACAACTATGGACAACATCCTCCTCCTTCTGATTATCCTCCTTCCAGTTATCCAGCACCTGTTGAGAGCTATCCATCCAACAACTATGAACAACAGCCTCCTGCTTCTGATTATCCTCGTTCCAGTTATCCAGCACCTGTTGAGAGCTATCCATCCAACAACTATGAACAACGTCCTACTGCTTCTGATTATCCTCCTCCCAGTCCTCCAAAAATAGACTACAAGAATGATGGAAGTTACGATAATGACTATCAGGAAAGCAGCTACGTTCAGGGGTATGACGACCACGTTCCCTCTAAGGGGCTATCATTACACATAGGTGGGGGTGGCGGTCATGGACTAATTAATCCTATCAGTTCTTTATCAAGTCTTCTGCTTCCTAGCCTGGGGAAACCCAAAGTCAACCTCAATGGACGAGTAGTGCTTGGAGTTGTTCTGGATAAAGGAATCGGACTGGGGGGTAACAAAGGGCTCCATGGTGGTTATATCGGTTAAATAGTGTGGAGCATTAGTCAGGACGTTATCTTTCAGACTAAGGCTAAGCTCAAATGAGCAAATTTTGCCTAATTTCAATATGTTGAATTTTCTTGCCCCGGTTGAATCGAATTACGTGTGTGAATATATGTAATATTGGATAATTTGAAATAAGGTTTTATGACAAAAAAAAATTGCAACTTTGATTTTTTAACTTGCCTTAATAAAATAACACTATTATAATAAGTTTATAAGTCCAAAATAAAACGAACGATAAGATTCATTAGACATATGGTTTTAGGCTTACTTAGCGCAGTGGCGAGCTTCAGAGTGTCTTTGACGTTTTTTTTTTTACATAAAATAGTTTAATATATTGGTGTGTTGAACATCATCCAAACACCTATACAATATAGCGATATAGGAATTCATTTTATGGTCACCTTTTTTCTATTTCGCCTATAAAAACTTTTGTATTTGACATTTTGTCAGACAAACCACGAGATCTTTTTTCTACTAATAGTAGTACACGCTTATTGAAGTGTCACATAAAATAACTGATCCATTTTCAGAGGTTCGTTTGGAACTAATTAATCTGAGGCTAATGAAACTTTTAATTTGTGTTTGTGCGGAAAGAAAAAAAATCATGTGTTTATGTTTTATGTCATTTTTCTTTTTTTCTTCCAAGTCCAGATTTTAGGTTGCAAGCGTGAATGGTGATAAATATAAATATATATAAAGTTATGAAGTAAATTTAACGTTTTTTGCCAATAGTACTTTGTACTTACAAATATATTACAGTTATTAAAAGTCGCTTAAGCACATCACTTTCTTCGCAGAATTGCGAAATCATTGTACCATTGAAAAAGTCGTGTTTCCTAAGCCTGATGGGATACTACAGAATAGCCAAAAGCAAAGAAGTCCACGGGGCTTTATCGAACACGTTTTTATAACGTTGCGGACATGTTTGGTAATCTTCTATTACCGAAAGCCTGAAATAGACTTTGTGTGCGTGTCTATGTACTGTTTCTAAAAGGCATATTTACGAACCTTTCGGTGTGAGTTTTTGTTAATTAGTATTTTAGTTAACAGGAAATTGTCTAAACATGTTTGATTTTTATTAATATTGCAACAAATATTAGCAGTACTTGTCTTTGTGGATATAACTTGTCATTAAATTCTCATTAAGATGCAAAATAATTTACTGCCAGCTCTTCTATATTTTGAGTGTTAACTTCAATTGGATCAAGAATTTATTAAGGTACCAAAATTTAATAATTAATTTATTACCATTGTAATAATTATATTTTAGGTAGTTTGTTAATACCTACTAATGTTGGCTCAGCGGTAAGTCTGGGGATTTATAATGCTTTGTGCATAATAACATATAAAAAACTATCTAATAGTTTAACCAGTAATTATGATTTTTTATGGAATTTCAGTTTAATCAAAATTTGTCCTATATTTTAATGATTTTTTTACTGTAAACACTACAGGTTTTTGATTAAATTAAAGCTTTTGTCGCAATATTTTTAGAAGCGGAAAATACACAGAATAAAAGATTTATGGTAACGCAATACTAGTGGAGTGCAAACTTAATCTGCGTGTGATATCACGTGTTGTAGTTAAACACTTTTATTGTATATGGAAAAGAAATTATGTAACTTTGTTCCCGTTTAAGCTATAAAATAAATGCAATGCATTTCGTTATTTTTCATATATATATAACCTGAGGGAGAGATGTAATAAAATCATTTTTAGATAATTCTTTATCTTAACCGTCAAAACAATTTACCTAATTTGAGAGATTTGTTGTTTTATAGAGATATGTGAGTAACTGAAGTGTTTTGTTTTGCAGAACACATTTTGTATATTAGTATGTGTGTTCAATTCATGTAAAAAGAAATAATTAATGTCTCTTGCTTTGATTGTTATTACTTTGAAACAATGAATACTGTACTTGATTGTTATTATTTTGAAACAATGAATACTGTACTTGATTGTTATTATTTTGAAACAATGAATACTGTACTTGATTGTTATTACTTTGAAACAATGAATACTGTACTTGATTGTTATTACTTTGAAACAACGAATACTGTACTTGAAACATTTTTTATAGTTACTATACGCTAAATGTATGAAATGATTTAATCAAAAGTGATACGTTTAAGGTACATTGATGTAATTAAGATGTAGTATTTGTGTGAAATAAAAGAGGCAGGCACCTCCTATAAACTTTTCTCTTTTGTTTCATTGATCTTAGAAGTATAAAAATCATGACCGAAAGAACCGGATGAGCGCATGAAATACTTCACTTCTGGCATTGCCCAATGTGGTGTCGTTTTCCCGTGACATTTGAAAGTTTTTACTGTTTAAAATTTTGCTTTAAACTAAGATGTGTTTAATTTTAAAGCTTAATCTAAGTCAGAAACAATTAATCATCTTTTACTCTCGTGATTAAAGCATTCGATTCACAATCTGTTACGTGGAGTGGTATTTACTTTATCTTTACCAAATAATCCAAAAAAAAGAACCCAGCCAACAACTGTGCACGTTACAATAAAATGTACTGGTTAGTGCATCGTTAGTTTATTTTTAACTTTTTTCCGGTTTGTAAAATGTTTCCACCTTATTCGATTTTTATCACGAAACTAATTTATAAAATGTGTTGATACAGTTTTTGTAGTTTTTCCTACCGTTTTATAAAATATGTTTATTAAATATACATACAATTCATTGTATTAAATCTGTTAATGTTCTGGTGAACTTAAGCTTTTACATCTTTTTCAAAGAGTAAACAAAAACCAAACAAGTTTTACACAACGCTGAAAAACACACGTATATAAAAGTGCGTGCAAATAAAATAGTGATTACCTTTATACGTTTTACCGTTTAAGGTGAATAAGTCACATGGGATATAGCCACAACGTCAGCTAAACCTATTTCTGCACTCGTGGCATCCTCCCGTTTCAACTTCAAGAGTTATAGTAGACATGGCCTTTGATAATCCCAGTTTAATAGAACTGAAAAGAACTAATCACTTAGTAACTATTATAGCCCAATTTGTATCTCATTCACAGTTAATACGCTCAGTTGGGTACCAAAACGTAACAAACAAAGAACTATACATTATAAAGATACTTCAATAAGAAATTCGATACCTTTAGATATGGGCCTCAGGCCGGCTGGAAGTATTTGTGCTATGGAGGGGCGCCAACTTATTTAGAGGAGGGGAGCGTATTTTGGAAAAGGTAATCCAAATCAATTTCACTTCAGAGTGGTTACAATAAACAAGTAAATAAATCCTATCACAACACAACATCATGAAAGAGCCATAGAACACGAGTTGTAAAATTATATTCTTTCCCGAAAAGTTTTTCCTTTTATTATATATAATTATAATTATTATCAGCGCATTAGTGATATTTACATTTGAGCTACTTAAAATTAATACCATAAAACAGTAAGCAGGCCCTCTACCGAGTGGAATAAACAAATTCTTACTATAAAGTTATGAATGTACATGTAATATTTACTTTCAACTGACTGGACACTGTTACATATAAAAATGTGTATTTATATAAAAGCTTTCGTAAATAATCTGACTCATTTAAACGCAATTATTTCCCCCTGTACATTATCTGTAAATCAATGTTTACATTCACTTTTATGAATAAATAGATAACTGAACTGTAGAGCAAATGACACAAAACAGAAAGACAATAGCCTAAACTTCTAACTATTACCAACAATAGGGTAATGCAGTGGTACTACAGCTCAGTACTAGAATATAACTCCGTTCTCTAACGTTTAGAGTAGTACTACAGCTCAGTATTAGAATATGACTCCGTCCTCTAACGTTTAGAGTAGTACCACAGCTCAGTACTAGAATATGACTCCGTCCTCTAACTATTACAGTAGTACCACAGCTCAGTACTAGAATATGACCCCGTCCTCTAACTATTACAGTAGTACCACAGCTCAGTACTAGAATATGACCCGTCCTCTAACTATTACAGTAGTACCACAGCTCAGTACCAGAATATGAATCCGTCCTCTAACGTTTAGAGAAGTAGTACAGCTTTAGATGATGAGGACCTTGCAAAGGAGTTTTCTAACAGGCGGCATTACCTTCACTATCTGTTGAACATATTGAACTCGAGAAGATTACAGAGAAGGAATGAGCCTTTTTAGATTATTGTTATTATTTTTCTGCTCAATTTTGATAATGAAAGTAATAATGAGTTGTTATTGATTTATCATATTAACTTGGAGTGAAAATTGGTTGCCAATGGATCTAAACTGGGCGGGAAAGGCCTTTCCTTTTCCGTGTCACCCACCCTGGCGAACTTTTACTACTGGAAACATTGATTACAAACCAGGATATATTGCCTTTTTTTGCATCTCACGATTTTCGTGATAAAAATGGTTAAACCCCCAAAGTGGGAGGTAAGCATATACACAAACGTGTCGACAGACTTCTCTGGGTGTTTATATCACTTACTGAAGATACTTTAAAACAAATAACGCAGACTGTCTACCAATTTCACAGCGAATGTTAAACAAATTGAGAATAATTTTCGAGAACAGGGAAACTAATTAAAAAAAAACAATATATATATTAAAATTGTATTTATGGCTAAGCCAAGGTTATCTGTCGCCATCTTGAATTGTGAACTGACCAGAAGGAAGGCAGACAATCAGGAGCATCCTATCACCCACCATAAGGGATTGACTGTCATTTTTATAACGCACGCGAAGTGAAGAACTTCGTAGTTCCCCGTATTATTTACTCTACCATCAGTCCAGAAATGTAGTTTCCCCATATTATTTACTCTACCATCAGTCCAGAAATGTAGTTTCCCCATATTATTTACTCTACCATCAGTCCAGAAATAGGTGAAATGCAACCCATAAAACCGTATCACACATATCCAGTCATTCATAGTTTACAATCTGTATTTTAAGTACTACTATAGCCGCACCTTTTCTGTTTGCATTTGAGTAAATTGGTTTCCAAA